CGAAAATTAATTCTCATTGAAAAACGAAGAACTTTAAAAAAGTTCTTCAAAAAAGTTAAATAAGCGCGGTATACATGATATTAAGATGCCCATATTTAACTTTACAATAAATGTTTAAAAATTCTCATTGAAAAAAGAAGAACTTCAAAAAAATTAAATAAATGCGGTGTATATGATATTAACACTAGAACTACCGTACCAGTCAAAATAACTGGTTTCGATGTTTTTGTTTAGCAATTATTGATATCTTCGAAGCATCGAATATTCGAAATGATTTTGAAAATAAATAGCTTCGTTTCAGTACTATGAGTGTCTGAAGAAATTGAAAATAATCTACTGTTACAATTTTTAATTGCATATTAATCGCATTAAATGCTCGGTAGTTCTAGTGTTAAGATGCCCATATTTAACTCTGTAATAAATTTTTAAAAATTCTCATTGAAAAACGAAGAACTTTTTAAAAATTGATTGTAGAGTCAAACATGGGCATCTTAATATCATGCATACTGCGTTTATTTAATTTGATTTAATTGTAAAAGTGTGGGTCGTATACACCCCATACGGCTTGAACGAAAAGTCTTAAAAAACGGTCCGGCACAGACGTGCTAAACTCAATCTGGCCGTCTGATGAAGTCCTCTGGGTATGTACCGGACGTAAAGCTAGATTTCCTCTGTACTATGCAAGTGAATCGGGCCGTATGTCACATCAATTAGTTTTGCCGTCCTCGTACATCGGTGTACCGACTCGAAAGGTCATCGGTGGAGCGCACCATAGGGTGGTGCTCGCGCTATCGTCTAATGCGGCAGGCTTATATGGTTAAGTGAACCAGAATAAAGAGAAAAACTCGCGAAATGAATGAATTAATGTTATTTATCCCGAACTACTATTATTTACATTATTATTATTATCGTTATATAATAATATTATAATAATTATTATTGTTATCGTTATTTACAACGAATTAACTCCTTGCCCTACTATTTACTTTCGCTGCTGAGTTCGCGTAGCATTTTACTATCGATAATTTGGAAGAAATGTAACAAAACATTCTGCTCTATTTTCAGTGGAAATTTCATTTGAAGATAATACATTGATAATAGCAAAATAGTTTTTTGCTTTGTTTCGTGGGGAATGAACAGTATTTTGAGTACAAGAGTACAAACATAACAGAGTTTTGTTGAATGAATTTAGGAATCTTCATTACGAGTCTCACTCGTCATTGTATGGCAAGGGGTTAAACTATTAGTATTCCGGAGAGTGTCTGTGAAAATTTTACATTGCATGTTACGTTTATCCCATACCTTGTCTGTGGTCTTGAAGAGTTCCTAGTAGTGGGGAACGCTGTTTTCAAGTTACTAACGTGAGAGGAGTAAATTAGACACCTCTGAGATACGTAATACCTTTTTCTTATAAATTT